ATTTTCATCCTACATGAATAAATAAAATGAAGTTGTGCCTCAATTTTTACAAAATAATTAGTTTCTTTATGAAAATTACTTTCTTTGTACAACATACAACATTTAATATTTGGTTAAATTATTTTTGACAGGGAAAATTGCTTCTCAATTAATAGATCATCGAGCCATTAGAAACCACAGCAAATTTAAAGTTAAATTAAATTGAAGTTAAAATTATTAATTCCATTAAATTTTATTACCAATTTCTCTTACAGTGAATGTGAAATACAAAATAAGATCAAGTCAAGTCAGATGAAACCATAAATTAATATAGTGGTCCACGATCCAACGATGATATTTCCTATAAAATTTTGCAAAATTGACGTTTCTTCATAAATTATTGGAAGTTTTGTCCCATCCTAATAAACAAGCGCGCATGATATCTCGATATCTCGGTGGCGTTGTACGATCGATATCGTGCCGTAAGATATCTCGTCCGTGGTTGCGAACCGACTGAAAGAAGATTGTACATATTGTACAAAAGTGGACGGAAGTATTGTGGAGTAAGTATAAGTGGACGTAAATTTCATAGAATTTAGTTGGTCTTATTTTGAAGTATGAAGCCTAAGTTATTTTCTTTCAAAGAAAGATGTTCTTACATCAAAAATTCAAATGTCTCTGAGAACGTGAAAAAAATTCGTTTAATTTTTTAACTTAGAAAATTTTCAATTTAGAAAACATTTTTTTCACAATCTACCATGGTAAGATAGAAGATCGAAGACAGGATGTTTCTACTTTGAAAGAATCTTCAATTCTTCAAGCGTTCGAATTCGAATATTTCACACATTAGGCATAAAACTTTTCATCGTTCCGGCTCGAAAATGAAAACGAAAGAGATTGGATAAAGTAGAAGATCGTTATGTCGTGCTTTAAAGACGAGCGAGGTATTCGCAGATTTCCATCGAGGCGAATCGGCTTTTATTAAATCACTCGATCCCAGGAATAATGTCGTTTCTACCTACAACGAGGTTGGCAAGTCGCTCCTCCTTTGCTGTCGCTTTTCAAGAACGACGTTTCCATCTTAGCTGCGGTTGACATTGCGACTCCTGCGAGGCGAAATATCATTTTGAAAATTCAGCGCGCGCCGTGCAAATACTTTGCGTTGTTATTCGGGACAATATTATCATTTCAACAGTTTCCAATTATTTTTGGAACGAACGCGTTCCCAAGCCGATAAACCGTCTTGCTTGTGTATTTTCAAAAAACGTTAGATCGGTGCGATATGGAACGTTGTCTTTTCGAAGTATGAATTTGTAAGTTATCAGTCATCCGACGAGGAAATTTTATCAAACGAGGAATTATTTTATTATTTTAAGTATAAATTATTTTGTTATTATTAAATGAAGGATAATCAAGTACAAGAAGAACTTGTTTTACAGCAGGGTATTTGAATTTTCTATTAGTATGATCGAATAAACGACAATAAATCGTAAACTCCAGAACATATTTAATAATAATAGAAAAAAATCTTTTTACTGTGTGATTGCGACTCGCGCCTTGAATGTCTTAATGTTTGAAAACGAGTCACACATGAAACAGATGCACACAGAACACACGTAAATATATCTAAGATAGAAATTTAACTATGCAACCTCCACGTGAACTATACCTTGACTTATTTTAATGTCAAGTGGCGCACTTTTCATTTAACATACAATAGAAAGTGGTAACAATTTTTGAAAGGTCATTGTAAAGGTGAGATTTCCCTTTGTAAGATCGTGTCGAAAGAAACGCGAGAAAAATTGTGGATTCGTTTGAATTTGTAAAATTTCAAAGAAACAAAAAAGCAACTCCATTTTTTTACTCCGTTTTATAACGAGAAACGATCTTTGGGAAAAACTGAGTTCCAGTGTGTGTGAAAGCAGAGACACTTCATTCTTTCAAACGAAACATAGATAGATTGTTGCAAGATTTTTTTCTTTTACACGGAGTTACAGGAGTTTGATATCGACAATTTTTGATCCATTAATTTCCGCCGTGGATCAAAGTTTTAATAAACTTTGAACGGGATTTTATTTGCAAAAGTTAAATCCGACTTGCGCGAGAGGGGAGGTAAATAGCATCGAGCCGATTTCAATTTTTATTCGACGCAACGTTTCGGAAAATTTGTAGGTAGCCTGACAAATAATTGCGGAGTTTTATTTTGCAACTATTCATAAAAGTAATGTTTGTCTCGTTTCCTTCTCAATCTGCGGGTTAAAGTTCGCAACGAAATTAAAGCGGAAGAAGTGAAGTCGATTCAAGTCTTCTCGCCTAAAGAATCGCCAGTATATTTGTTTCATGCGTTTTTGAGTAATGATTTGAAATTGAAATTAATCACGACCGAAGAATACACCATCAAACGAATTTTATCGAATTAAGCTACAAGCAAAATGTCACAGATTCGATTCTTTTAAACTAAAATTGAAATAAATTTTTCATGCCATAAAATTCATATCTAAATTTATTTATGTAAATATAAATTTAGATGTATTTATAGTTGTGTTAATCTAAATTTATAAGGATAAACCACAATCTCGAAATTTAGGCAATAGATAAATTTATGGGCAATTTTTCATTAATTGCATCCACTGTAAAATATTTATGGGTAATATAATAATTGTTAGAACGAGTCTGATATTTGTGATATTTCATTTCTACATGTGCGCAGATATGTAAAATTTTTATTACTATAGCATTTATTAATTGTTATATTTCTTGATATAAATTTTGTAGGAGTAGATTTTATTACTTGACAAAAATTTTCAGAAAATAATTTTCTCCCTTCGACAAATATCAGCAAAATATTAGTAAAAATCAGTACGCTGCAGACTTTTTTTATATTTGTTTTTATAGAAAATTTGAAAACATAGAAATTCATACATTTGGGAATGTACATAATATGCAAAAATATATCTATTCAAGATAAATAATAGTCGATAATAGTAGATGAAAGCTCTTTATACATTCTTTTTTTTTTATGATATTCGGAGAAAAATGAATTTGCAAAAATATTCACTGTCAGAAAAACTGGGAACTTTTCGATGAATACGCAAATCGTATTACTAAACTAGTAGATTTTTATGCAAATTCACATTTTTAAATGTTTGTAATAAAATGGCAAGTGTTATAGAAAGCGTTTTAAAAATTTGATACGTTTCTTTTCATACAACACATTGTGTACGATTTTTAAATTTTTTATAAATGCACTGTGTTATCATATTCGTGGAAATATTATTATTATAATAGAAATATTATAAATGCAAAACTTGTTATTATGTAATGATAATATAATGAATGCAAAAGATAATATAATATAATAATATTGTAATAATAATGATGTTAATATAATAAATTAATAGAATAAATTAATAGAACTATTACAAAGATTAAACCTCACGATCAATTTGATATTTAACAGAAGTAAATAGAATGTAATACATAAACTTCGTTATTATTGTATTTGTAAAAATATAAATTTGCATAATTATCCATTGTCTAGAAGACTAGAAACTTCTCGATCAATTCAGTATATTCATTTAATGCTTTGAGTTGCAGGAAAATCTTCTTTTCAGCAAAATTTTTTTATTATTATTTAAATGTAGAAATGAATATAATTCTTATAATTAAAAATGTTCTAATTGTCATACTTTTAAAGATATTTGCTCATGGATTCCATCAAAAATGAACGATAAAAATATATCGACCAAATTATTTATGCAAATCTCATTATGAGATTGATAAATTTCATAATATGATGAAATAAAATTTCAAATGACGTTGTGAAAGTAACATTTTGAATAAAAGATTTTGAATAATTTAAACGGGTTTCGAAAGATTTTGAAAAATTTAGAAATCTATAAAGATGTATAATTTAATATTATTAATAGTATTAACATTCAAAGTTTTACAAAACAACGAAAAGAAATCGTACAACGAAGGAATTCAACATTGTAATGAATTCAATCATAAAAAAAAAATTGTTTCGTGTTCCTGAAGACGTTTGAATTTATACAAATCTTTTGAAGAAAAATACTCCCACTTTTCCATTCGCTACACGATTAAAATATCTTAGAAAAAAAAAAAAAAAAAGAAAAGAAAAGAAAAGGTGGAACTCAGAAAGTAAAGAATGGTACGCTATAAATGAAACGTCATATAATTTTTTTCTAAAATATCAGTTTAAAATGTGGATAATTTTTCATCGGAATACGCGTATACTTTTGT